GGTGTCACGATGGTCCCGGGCGTGGTGCTCACAGCCGCGATGTCCGTAGCATTGCTCGTCTAATACGTAAATGTAAGGTTGCTAGAGCTGGGTTTCGACTCGATGCACAAGGTCGTGAAGCTCGATGCCGTCGTACTGCTCACAGCCGATGAGGTGGTCCCTGACGCGCTGCTCAAGGACGTGGTACTCGTCGAACCGCTCGTCTCTCTCGTAGTGAGGCTGTTGCTAGTGTATCCGGTCGTGCTGCCCAACGCCGTGGTGCTCAACTCCTTGGCGTTCCCCAGTGTCCAGGTGCTTTACACGTAGAGTTTGATGTCGGGAAGGGTAAGCGCCGACAAACCAAGAGGCGAAGATCATCGATGCGAGGTTGGAGTCCACTTGAAACCGATGGTGCTTTTCAGGAGGCTTTGGACGAGAAGCTCAACCAGCACGCACCGTCGTCACACTTCGAAGCGGGGACAATACTGTTCGATTTGCGGCGGCTCATGGGGAGGGAGTTTGCAGCAAGCGACGGCGATTCAATGAATAGCCACTGGACTCACGTTACTTTTAAGATCTCCTGCAACAGAGGCGCCAGGCACGTGATCCCCACCAGCGGAAGGAGCTTTCAAAGACCATTCGACGGCATATCCGCGGGGAGCTCCGGAAGCAGAAGAGCCAACGGTTCCAAGCTATTCTGGATGAGTTCATCGAGCTTGACCAGGTCAACGACGCAAGGAAATTACCAGCATGCTCGTCTACAGTTGGATCCATTGCGCAAGCTGGAGCAGAGGATTTTGCCAGCTACTTGGAGGGGATCTTCAAATCTGATTGGTCATCCACTTGTGGATCAGCTTCTACGCACCTCCAGTCTATACTGGGCAGCTTCTCTACCAACATACATTCATTCACGATGTAGGAGCTTCGACGTGCGCTCGAATCGATGGAGCTTCGAAGGGGCTCGGACGAGTTCGGGGTCGTCGCGGAGATGTCCAGGAAGTCTTCTCACAAGCTCATGGCTGTACTGCTCCACTTGTTCAATCAGATGTTGCATGAGGTTGCCAGTAACCCTACCTGGAGGGAGACATTGTTTTCGATGCTCCCGAAGGCAGGCGGTCTCAGCTTGCCGCAGAATTGGAGGCCAGTCGCAATCTTGAGAATATAATCTGAATTGCGCGCTTGCTCTATCACCGCATTGGCGGGGTGTTGGACGCACAACAATCCGCAGACCAAGTTCGATTCCAAACTACACGATCTGTCGACGACGTGTTCATTGTCTTCGACACTGCGTGTGGCAAGCGTTTGGAATGGAATGTGCCTCTTTGGCGCTTGAGTCTGGGCTTGAGCAAGGCTTTCAATCTAATTGAATTCCAACCGATGCTTGAGTCACTACGAAACCAAGGCGTGGGCGACGAGTACGTTGCCATGCCATATGTCATCTATGCACACCGACGCGGTCGAGTCCGTGGTTCTCGCCGTTTTTTTGATTCAGAGAGGCGTCGAACAGGGAGACGCCCTGAGCCCGCTGCTTTTCAATGCGGGGGTCGAATCAGCGCTGCGTGCGTGTGAGTGGAAAAAGGTGCTCGCGCTGACGATGGTGGCCCCCTGTCAAACATCAGATGCGCGGACGACGTCATGATTTTCGCCACCTCGCGCAGAGATCGCATCACCATGGCCGCAGCGTTCAGGGAGGAGCTTGCGAAAATAGGTCTCAGCCTGAACGCCCGCAAGACCAAGGTTCTGACGTCTTCGGCGACCAAGATGTGGCTCCGCTTGACCTCGGAGGACAGCCCGTGGAGATCCTCACCGGCCACATGGCCCACAAGTACTTGGGGAGGAAATTGCGCGGCAACCTGCGTGCAAGTAGTTCCCACGAGGTGGGCCACCGAATGCAGATTGCGTGGATGCGGTGTCATCAACACCGTGACATCTAGACCAACAAGCACTTGAGCACAGATTCCCCGGATCAAGATTTTTGTTCATTATTATATATAAAGATTGTGATAACGCCAACGATTATGTCTGGCCTTTGGTCGGGTGCGGTGACACGGGTGCGGACGTGTTCCGTGGATGCACTGCAGCGGAAAATGCTTCGAAAAATCGTTGGTTGGACCCGTCTCGTGGACGAGCCGCGGGAGGACACGGTGCGATGCGATTGAAAGTCGACTCTGCCTTAACGGGATGCCCGATGGAAGACTGAAGCGCTCAGCTGCTGCGCAGGCGGTTCAGATTTGCTTATCGAGTGGGCACTATGATTGGTATTTGGTATTTGGCCTGCAAGATTATCCCGTTGGCATACCCCTACAACGCTTCCCCGAGCTGGACGTGGACGTGGGCGACCCGCAGTGAGATGGAACGACGATTTGCGAAGATTCTAGAAGCAACACTGACCAATGACTTTGCAACGCGCGAAAACGTTTTCGTGTAATTTTCAATCGAGCACCAACAGTAGCGCTGGAAGTCTCACACAGTCGCGCCCGATGCCGGGCCGAGCTTCGACGTGCTGTTCAAGTAAGTGAGGTTAGATGCGCTGTCCGTCTCACCCGTGAGTGTTGCTCGGCGTCGTGCTGCACGGCGTCGTAGTGTTCGATGTCGTCGCGACGCACGGTGTCGCGATGGCCCCAGGTGTGCCGCTCGAGGACTCGGTGCTGATTGCACTGCTCGGCTCATGCTTTGATATGCGAGTGCTGGAACTGGATCTCGTTTTGGCGCGCCCCGTCGTAGCGCTTGATCCCGTCGTGCTGTGCAGTGCCGAGGCGTTGGTCCTTGACGTGTTGCTTGGCGACGTGGTGCTCGTTGCACTACCCGTCCCACTCGTGAAATTCGGGCCGTTGGTGTTCGGCTCCGTCGTGCTGGGCGGCGTGAGATACCTGGTGCTGCACGTGGTGCGCAAGGACTTGGTGCTCGTAGCACTGCTCGTCGCAGTCGCGGGCGCGAGCCCTAGCGGGCAGGCCGCGATGATGAGGGCAAGGCAGAGATCGCGTGAGCTCGCCCCGATCAGGGTCTGGATTGGCGCACTGGAGTGGTGCTTTGCGAAGCGTGGCCCAGTGGCTTAAGTGCAATGCACGAGCCAAGGAAAGCTAAGACCGTCGATCGCCCCACGACGGTTGGAGAAACAACACAGTGTTGCATAACGCCGAATTTGTATGAGCGATCCTGGCACCCCTGCCGCAGCTGCGCAGAGAGGGAGTGCTGGGTTCGACGGAGGAGCGGACCCCGCCCGCGCATGCATCACCTCCGCTGTTCGGTGCGTCGTCGGTATCCCTCTCAGCTGCTCTCCTGCTCAGGAGCTCGTGCGTGGTTGCGTTGATGAGGTCACGCGGGCCTCCTCACCGCCCCCCCCCCAGGATCGCGGGGAGAGGTGAGCCGACGGAGGGTTGCCGCTCGCATCGGCGTTCGAGGAACTTGCGAAGGCGTTCCCGCTGCAGCCGGCCAAGTCCCGGGGTGAGGGTGAGCGTGAGCCTTGTCGGCGCCACAGTCGCTGGTGCGACGGTTGGCAGCGGCTGAGCGAGTCCAAACACTGGCACGGGCTTCCGCACGTGCGCAGGCGGTCTTGGTGGCTCAAGCGTGGGCTCCGCGGGGCTGACGTCAGGCGTTGATGGAATGTTACCTCTCACCCGCTTGGCGTCCCCGGGGAGGTTCGGCTCTCTTGGGGAGCGAGGGGTCAGTCAAAGTTGGCGCGGCCAGGGAGGACCACGCAGGTTTGGTACTGATCCCCCGCGCGGCCAATGACAGTCCCGTGTTGGCCGTTAGTAGGGTTTTTTTCTTTGGCTGATGACCGTTATTTTCGTGCTTTTCTGGATGGGCAGAGGTGCGGGTGGGGGAACAAGGCCTGTGGTGTCGGGCAGCGCGTCGGCCTTGGTGGACCTTGAGTTTACCCTGAACTGCCCAGGCTCATTCCCGATCCCGAACGACCGGTCCTCCATGCTGCCTGGCACGCTCGGGCCCCATGCGTCGCAGGGGCCCCGTTCGTCACAGGGGTCCTATTCATTACAGGGGCACGCGTCTGACCGTCGCAGGGGAACCATTCGTCATCTAAGACGTCAGCTCTTTGTCAAGAAGGCCCAGGGGTCTGTGTGCAGGCTGGTTTGCTTTGCTTGATCGGAGGCGATCCCTTATTCGGGCTGGTGTCATGTGTGGACCAGTGTAGTTTGGCTGGTGGCCGCGCTGGTCACCGTGGTTTCACAGCAAATTACTGTGTCCTCGAGCCTCTGCTGCTCCGCTTCGAGGCTGCGGAGCGGGGCGTCGGTCTGATCGGGGATCCTTGAACGCTTTGTTTGGATAACCATTGTTCGTCCGAGTCTTCGTTGTAGCCTGGTGGTTCTTGGGTATGTGAGAGCCCGTGATCGGCCCTCTTTTAGCGTAGGCGCGATCGGGCCGTCCCAGTTTGGCGCATCGAGGCTGAAGATAGGGGCTGTGCCGTTATCTTGGTAGAAACGGCCGGGTCCAGGGACCTTGCAGGGTCACGGTTGGTGCCCGTATTGGGTGCGATGGCAAATTGCAGCTCCATCTAGCCGATCTTGAACTTCCTGCGCAGTTTCATCAGCTCGTTGCTGAGCCGAGGCTGGTTGGAGCAGTGTTGCTGGTAAACGTCTCCGGGTTCGGTTGGGTGCTTCCGGGCAAGCTCGTCGTAGGGTGCAGCAGCCCGGTCTGCGCCGCCACTGCTCTGGAAAGCAGCGGTGCAGGCCCCCTGGCGCACGAGAAAGTTTTCTGGACAGGAGGTTTGGCGGCCCTCGCCTGGTGGCTGGGGCTGCAGTGGTGCATGAAGCACACGGCGAGGGCTCTCAGGAACCGTTGCGGCGCGCGGGGGGATATGGGGATGGCGCGAATCAGTCACACCGTTGGATGCGGTGGGGGCTTCGCGTCGTGGCTGCGCACTGGGCCAGAGACCCTCGAGCCGATACGAAAGAGAGAGCGAGAGAGGGGGAGAGAACGAGAGAGAGAAAGAGAGAGAAAACAGAACAAATCAAACAAGCAACAAAACACGCAAAAACAAAGCAGCACAAAAAAACGCCGCGCAGCGCCGCTGACCGCCGCCCCCGGGATGGCCGCCGGGGAGGCGCGGGGCCTCGCTCCTCCTCCTGCCTCCTTTCCCTTCCTCCTGCTCCCCACGCAGACTCCTTCGGGTACGCTTCACCTCCTCCTGCTATCCTCTCCTCCACGTCCTGCGTTTCCCTGCTGCTGCTCCTCCTTCCTTCCTTCTCCTTCCTTCCTCCTCCTGCCTCCTGCTCCTCTTCCTCCTTCTCATCCCTCCTTCGCTTCCTCAGCCTCATCGTCATCATCATCTCCTCGCCCGCGCGTCGCCCGAGCCCCGCGGGCCGAGGAGCTTCGGCAGTGCCAAGGGGGTCACCACTACCAATCGGTCGTTGAAAGTAGGTATTTCTGGAGTCCCAGACTCCAATCTACTTTAAGCGCCTTCCTACTCCAGCGATCGAGTGGCTTCACCTTTTCCGTCCGCTTTCGGGGGCAGTCGGACACCCAATCTACTTTCAACGCCTTCCTACTTCATGTTTCTGTCTACTTCTTCCGACCGATGGTCAGCCTGCTTTTGTGTGTTTTGCTGGCGGTTTTACGGGGCTCGAGGAGGGCCGCAATGGGGCCCAAGAGCGGAAGGGGCCCTTCCAGGACCCCCTCCTTCCGTCCACGACGCGTCCTGCCTGCAGTGGAAGCGCATGCCAAGAGACACCCATGCCTCCGGCCTTCCGAGAGGGTTTCTGTGTCTTCGGGGCAGGGCTTGGAAGTCCTCTCCGAAGGCCAGGGGACATCCGAGCCTTCGGAGAAGGCCCGCCCCCTCTCATTGCCCCCCCCTCCTTCTCTTCCTCCTCCTCCTCGTCCTCCTCCTCCTCCTCCTCCTCCTCCTCCTCCTCCTCGTCCTCGTCCTCCTCGTCCTCCTCGTCCTCCTCGTCCTCGTCCTCGTCCTCCTCCTCCTCCTCCCCGGGCTGGCCGTCGAGTTCTCGCGAACAGTTGCCACGAGGACTGCACACACAGAGGCCACTTCTGTGGAGAGCCATGCCAAGAAACACCCTGCTTGCCTCCAGCCCCTCCTCATCCTCCTCCTCCCTCCTCCTCCTCCTCCTCCTCCTCCTCCTCCTCCTCCTCCTCCTCCTCCCTCCTCCTCCTCCTCCTCCTCCTCCTCCTCCTCCTCCCTCCTCCTCCCTCCTCCTCCATCCTCCTCCCTCCTCCTCTCTCCTCCTCTCTCCTCCCTCCTCCCTCCTCCCTCCTCCCTCGATGATTTTGCGATGGAGAGCGTGACGTCCCCAGACCGAAAAGCCATGGACGTCCTGGGGTCTCAGGGTTGGGCTTCTTGCGGAAGGTTTCTCGTGGATTAGTCTCCATTGTATGTTGAGTCCTTCAAGCCGTATCACAGTCAATTCTTGGACCCCTCTCACGGTCCATGCTGCGCAAAATTTCGAGCCGCGTCCAGCCGTGCCAAAGAGAACCCCCAGATGTTGTTTTAACATTCTCTGGACGGCAGAGGTCGACGTCGAGCTCTGAGGGGCCCGCTCCTTTCTGCTAAGTGTGTTGTGCGGGAGACCGGACCCCGTTTCGCGTGGGCCCCCCAGAGGCCTGGACCCCTTGCCCAGCACGGGCTGCTCACCCCGAGTCGCTTCCCAGGGTTTGGAGATGGACCCCCAGAAGGCTGCGCCCCCAAGCCCTCCCTCGTGGTTTTGTTCACGACGCGAGGGGGGTCTGGCCATGGGGTTGCCCGTCCTGGGAGGCCCGCCCCCGCTTCCCTCGGCTACACGTTTTGACCCTCTGCCAGAGTAACCTCGGGTGCGCGGCTTTTTCGGGGGCCATGGGGCCCGGCGGGCGCGCGGTGCGCCAGACCCTGGCACGCAGGCCTCTGCTTCCGCATCTCGTTCAACGACTGGCAAGCCGCGCGCCACAAGTCACTCTTCCCTGGGGCCTTGGGCCGCTCTTCGCGGGCGCGGAAGGCATCCACACACACGGCCCCGCGGTCGTGGCCTCCCAGGCCGCGGCCCCATGGATGCAGTTCGGTTCTGCGCGGATGCTCCGCGCGGGACGCACCTGTGGCATCGCGCACTCGTGGGATCGCGCCTCGGTGTCCAGACCGCGAGGGCATGAAGATGGATGCGGAGGAGGAGGAGGAGGAGGAGGAGGAGGAGGAGGAGGAGGAGGAGGTCCCCAGACCCCTCCGGCCAGGCTGGCCTCTCGCCCCAGATCGATTCGTGGCGCCCCCGGGGGGCAGGATGACGGCCTCCGGACGCCGAGATGACGACGAGCGAATCTGTGTCTGTTGTGTTGCGATGTGTTCTAATTGTTCCCCCATAAGGTTTGCCTAAGGGGTTCCGAATTACACATTGTTCATTTCTTGATCTTCGGAAGTTCTTTGATTTTTTGGTGGCCAAGATCCTTTCATTTCTAATTGTTCTATCCTGGGCATCTTCCTGGCCACTAGGGGGGCAGAAACAATTAGAAACGAGCAGAATTAGAAATGAGCACGATTAGAAATGAACGACGTGTATTTGGTTGAAGGTTAGTGCCTCGGGGGCTTACTTTGCTCGTTCCCTGGAGATTCCTCGGGTTTCTCGGGTGCCCCGCCCCTTGCGCCTCCGAGTATTACGTTGCCCGTTGCCTGGAGGTTCCCAGGGTTTCCTGGGTCCCCCGAGTTCCCCGGGTGCGCAAGGCCAAGCAATGCCAAGCAGTGCCAAGCATTCGCCGATGCAACAGGAAGCTTTCCCCTGATTGAGGTCGCGCCGGATTCATTTGTGTTGCGATGTTTTCGAACCATCCTTCTCCTGGTCCTCCTCCGTTTGCAATTTGTTTCATCCATCAGCTTAATTAGGCGCGCCAAATAAGAAATTAGACTGCTAGCATTGGCCCCACCGTATTCATATTTCTCGAGGGCTCCAGATTCCTGTTGGAGTTTAGGAGGCATTCTGCAGAGATCCATCAATGCGCCCCTAGTTTTCTTACAGCACGGCTTCTCAATTGAAGCATGAGCTGTATTGCCAACCTGACAACCGACGTCATGATTTGTTCACATCGTCGACCCCTCACAAGCTTCTCATACTCCCAGGACGCGTTTCTCAGGACAAGTTGTTGAGGACAAGTTTCTCATCATGAATCGTGTTTTGACAGTCCCTGGGCCCGCGAGGCCCCCCTGATGCTAAGCCAGGCAAAACCGCCCGCCATGTTGTTTCACGTCGTAAGGGGCTCTGGGAGCGCACCTCTAACGCTCATGGCTTCTATCTGTCTGTCCGTCCGTCGCCGTTCGTGGACCCGTGCGTGTCGCCAGCGTTCCGCGATAAGACCCCCATCGTGGTCCCCCAGCCGTGCAACTGCGTAAAAGTGTTGTTCAGGGTTTTCTGCCGCACGGGGCGTATTTTTTTGCGTATGGCGTCCCCGGAAGTACCGGCCCCTTCTCCAGAGCAAATGTTTCATCCCCGATAGTGTTTTGATGGTCGGGGCCTTGCGAGGGTCCCAGGAGGCCGAGAATTGTCCACATTTGTAACACGTCAGTCGAAGTGCACTTTCCCGTTATTTTTCTATATGGTCCCCCTTGTATTTCAGACTCTGGCAAGCTTGAATTGCATGGTGGGGGAGGGGTGGCGAGGCCCGACAGGAAATCTGCGCTTCACGCAAGTGGAGACTCACTTTCGCGCCTCTTTGGCAAGGCAGAGGAGGAGGGGGGGAATGCCATCCAAGTAGAGTTGCCTGAGTCTCGTCAATGTGGAGGTCTCTTTCTGTGTAGACATGCTGCTCGTTGACCTCGTTCGTGTGGCCAGCCCCCCCACGAGGCTGCGGGGGCGCCGGCGGCTGAGGTCTCCCGCTCGCCTGCGCTGCCCCAGCAGCTGCTCGTCGGCTTCTGCGGGCGGAGCGCCTCGGCGCCGCCGGAGCCGGGAGGGCCCACGGGGCGCGTGGTGGGAGACGGGAGGTGCGTTGAGGTGCGGTCCTCCTCATCCTCCTCCTGCTCTTCCTGCTCCTCCTCTGAAGAGCACCCCCCCGCTTCGCATCCGATCGACCCACCCATTTTCCTTCTCTCGCCCCCCCGGACCCGCCATCCCCCTCCCCCCGCCCCTTTCTGGGCAATCACCCTTCTCCTTCGCTTCATCCCTCTCGTCGCTCCCTCCCTCCCTCCCTCCGTCCACCTTCCTCCTCCGTCCCTGCGGGCTTGACAAAATCACGAGAACCTTCAGCGTATCCACGCGCGTTCTTATCCTGGCGCCAAGGGCCCTGGAAGGCTACACCTGGAAGGCGGGAACCGAGTTTCCGTAGGGCCCGCCCAGTTTTCTCTTCCTTGGTATTCACGTTTGCCCACGAGTTCCAGCGCATTCCCTTCCTGCTTGGCCACGTGTCTCCAGTCGACGTGTCTCCAGAGGCGGGGCGCTGTGATCAGAGCATGGAACACTCCGTCTGCACACCCGCATGCAGAGAGACGCCTGCTGTGCACACGCTGTGGCATGCGTGATACGGAACCCTGACTGTGGCGCCGCCGCCTTGCGGTCCCCCCCCCCCTCGGCGGCACAGAAGGAGGGCAACGGAACAGGTACCCATCGTTCACGCAGCCCACAAGGAGGAGGGCGCTGGGGATGTAGCACTGGTTTGCCGCGCGTTGGGCAGCAAGGAGGGCCTCATGTTTGTCCTGGAGGGCCGCCCCGAGGGAGGTGGCGGGCCCGAATGCCTGCTGCAAGTCGCCACAGGCTGCTTGTGCACGGTGGGACTTGTCAAGCAGTGGAGCTGCCTGTTCGGGGATGTGCTGGATGTGTTGGGCGAGGTGGTTGGCTCGCTGGTGCAGCGCGTCAATGCTAGCGATGAGGCCCGCATCACGGTCGCCGTCCGGCTGCGGTTCAGCAGCCGCGAGGTGTCGCGTGAGGGTTTGCTTCCGGACCGACCGTTGGGTAATTACACGAACGTCCGTGCCTTGTGGCGGAGATGGCGCTTGGCCGTTCACTGCTCTCCGCACCGTGGTAGGGGGGGGGGGGGGCTAGGCGTTCTGGTGGTGGGAGCTGATGGCGGTGGATTGGGCGGGGAGACTGCCCGCGGGGGGGGGGCCACGATTGGCACGCGTCGTGCAGGCGAGCGTGGTCATTGCCTTTTGCCTTCGCCGTCGCCGTCGTTCATGAAGCGCGGCCCAAGAGGCCCCGCGCGTGCAGAGGCGCATCCCTGCAGGGTGCTGGCCCGCCGCCGTGCAGGGTGCGTTTGCCCGCGGGCCCTCTTGGGTGGCGGCGCTCGCGGCGGGGCTTGTCGCAGCCCCGTGGGGTTTGTGATCCTCTTTGGTAGGCCAACTGGTCAGGGTGAGGGGGCCGAGCGGTCTTGCACCATCCTTGGGTGCTCATCCTTGGGTGCGTTGGGTGAAGTGGGGCTCGATGGACCGATTTTGCTCGTCTGTTGTTTGTTGTCGTCGTCGCCGTCCCCATCGCGACCCGCCCCGCGACCCGCCCCGCGGCCCACCCCGCGACCCACCCCGCGACCCACCCCGCGACTCTCTCGAGACCCATCCCGCGCCCGCCCCCACCGATTCCTATCCGCAATTGTGGGGTGCGTGATTTCGGGGAAGAAAGAATGACATAAGCATCGACGTTCGGAGGTCCTCGCGGATTTTTTTCGGATCGTCGCTGGAGCGCCCTGGCGGCTCCTCCGGCGCCGCCCCTGGCGCGCTCCGCGCGCTAGGGAGGGGGGCCGATCCGAGAAATTTGCGCGTGCTTCCGAAAGTGTATGTTCATGTCTCTGTTCCCCGAACATCGCCTTTTTCCACCAAAACAGACATGGTCCGCCAAGGGTATCCGCCGCCCCATGCCACAACCCAGCGGAGGTATGGGGGGGAGCAGGCCTCCCTTTCGCGCCCGCCCCTCGCGCCAGGTGCCGCTCGGGGCGGGGGCCGGGCTCCAGGACTTGGAGGCGGGGCCCGAGGAGGATCGAAGGGGTCGAGGATTGAGTTCCGAGGGCCGAATAGGAATCGAGGATGACGAGGAGGACCGAAGGTCGGGGGTTGGAGGATCTATGTCCGAGGATCGCGGATAAGGTGTTGGAGGAGGATGAGGGGAGGAGGAGGACGATAGGAATCGAGGGCGAGAAGAAGGAGGTAAAGTTGGAGGAGGAGGAGGAGGAGGAGAAATTTCGACAAATCGAAGAGGAGAAGGAGGAGGACGACAATCAGGATGAGGAGGAGGAGGAGGAGGCGAAGCAGCATCGACTGGTCGAGGGGGAGGAGGAAGACCAGTGCACACCCAAGACGCATCAACAACATTGCAATATAGCTTCCCTCCAAGCTTCCTCTTGATGGGCCCCTACGCCGGAGTTGCCCTGTTGGAAGACAGCCGTTTAAAAATCCGGAATTGCGCCAGAACGCAGTTCTTGAGACATCACCCCCTCGGAACACTTTTATTGTTGCGTCTTGACGATCCTCAATCGTGCCAGAGCACCGCTCCTGGGATTATAACTTCTCGAATCTACGTGATTGTTGTGCGTTAACATGTCGACGTCGTGTCAAAACACCACTTCTGGGACGTTAGCCGTGAGAATATCTGCAACAGCTGAAAGCGAAGGCGCGGCGCTAAGGCGCGAACCGATTGTGCAATATCTGCAATATCTGCAATATCCGAATGTGCGCGGCGCTAAGGCCAGAGCCACAATTAGAACAGGAACCGCCTTCCATCCGTGAAGCTCTTGCAAGCGCTTTACGGCACATGTGCGCGGCGCCAGGGTGAGAGCCACATTTTGAAAACGGGCCGCCCCCCATTCGTGAAGCGTAGAGGAATGCGCGCGACGCTACGGCGAGAGCCACATGTTGAACACGGGCCGCCTTCCATCCGTGAAGCTCTTGTGGCAATGCTAGACTCTCTCATGCGTTTCCGTTTCCCCCACCCCTCGCTGCTCGTTCTCTATGATTGCCCCACCCCCCTTTCCGTCTCCCTTGCTCTTGGTTCTGCTGCGTCTCCATTTCCACGTCCTTCTCCATCCTCTCCCCCTCCTTCCTCCCCGCTGCATCCTTGTCCTTCTTCCCTCTCCCAAGTGCGTTTCCGTTTTCCCCATCATTCGTTGTCCGTTCTCTTTGTTTTCTCTCTCTCTTTCTCTCTCTTTCTCTTGTGTTTTTGGTTATCCTCTGTCTCCCGTTCCACATCCTTCTCCTTCCTCTCCTCCTCCTTCCTTCCCACTGTGTCACTTTCCCTCCCTCCTCCTCGTCTCTCCTTCGCGCCTTCCTCTTTCCGCCTCCCTCATGCATTTTCGGCTTCTCAACGCTGCGAGACGGCCCAAGAGGCCAAGAGTTGCGACGGCCCGAGTACGACACAAGAGAGCGCCAAGACGGCCCAAGAGGCCGCCAAGACGGCCTAAGAGGCCCTCAAGACGGTCCCAAGACAGGGGCAAGAGCGGGGATCCAAACCGACATTTCGAGGCCAGACGTCTGGGAGGCCCCCGAGGCGCCCCCAACAAGTTCCAAGAAGCCTCCAGGAGACCCCCAAACAACAACCGGAGAGGCCCCACCCACCAGAAACCCACAAGAGCATTCCAAAAACGTCCCCAAAAGACATCCAAAGATATTCCATTCATTGTTTTGCTAGGCGCTCAGGGGCAGTCGAGCATCCCTCGCAGGCTGCTCTGGGTCCTCATAGCTGCCTTGCGCGACTTACTGTGGCCTTTTTCAGCAACTCCTAAAGCGCTCATCAGGAAGTACGCTCCCATATGATGCTCCTTGCGGGATGACGTCCATCCTCATCCGATTCCGTGAGGTTGGCTTGGGGTGCGTATGTATATTTACACAGAGAGGGGAAAAAGCAGAAAGAGAGAGAGAGAGAGAGAGATAGAGACCACATAACAAAAAACAGAGATAGGTGCGACGGAGGGCGCATGCAGGCGGCGCATGCCCGCCAATGAAAGCAGCCAGCCCTGTCTAGAGACGGAGATATTATGATTTGAACGTTCTACTGTTTCTTGAACGGTTGAGGTTCCCGTGTGTGCGCGATGCTTCTCAGCTGTCTCTGCCAGTATCGTGAATCATGCAATCTTCTGTTCGTATTGATGGCATGCGTCTGCGGCACAGTGCAGGCGTGCCGTGCGAGCAGGCCGGGGGGGGTGGGAGGGGAGTCGCAACGGCGGCTGCTATCAGGACGTGGTTTGCGCGCTGGTAGGCAGGCTCTCACGTCAGCGCGCGAGTGCACACGCGCGCGGACGCCGCGCACGGCCAGACATCCGTAGTGGTTTTTGTTTTTCCCCACATTCGAAGTGGGGTTCTTGTTTTCTCTGGACGCCCCGCGCAGTCCTCACCCACACCCCCTCTCTTCCTCCGCATCCTCACTCCACTCACTCTTTCATTCATCAGCATTGTCATCATCATCAACCACACACACACACGCTTTCATGATCACCATCATCATCACACTCACACACTGAATCCCTATTCATAATCACCGCTCATTCATTCCTCATCATCATTATCATCATCATTATCATCATCATCATTCATTCATCACTTCGTCATCACTTACTCCCCATCTTGACGATGGAAGATGTCTCAAGCGGGAGCCTCGTCTGTGAGTGAATCGTGAGGAAATCTCAGGCGGGAGCCCCCTCCCTATGGGCCCGGCAGATCACGTTACTAATCCGAGCGGGTCATCCAGAACTTGTAACTGTCGTCACTTTTGACCTCCTCTGGCTCGAGTATAGAGTAAGTCTCAGGCGGGAGCCTCGTCTGTGAGTGAATTTCGAGGAAATCTCAGGCGGGACCTCTTCCCAATGGGACCCGCACTTCACGTTGGTAATCCGAGCGGGTCATCGGCAACCTGTAGCTGTCGTCGCTCTTGGGGGTCTTCAGGCTTGAACTTGGAGGAATTATCAAGCGGGAACCTCGTTTGTGAGTAACTGGCGAGGAAGTCTCAGACGGGAGCTTCTCCCTATGGGTCCCGCGCCTCACGTTCGAATCCGAGGCGGGTCATCGGCACCCTGTTACTATCGTCACTGTTGGGTTCCTCTGGTTTGAACTCGGAGGAAGTCTGAGTCGGGAGCCTCGTTTGTGAGTGAATCGCGAGGAAGTCTCAGGCGGGAGCCCCCTCCCTATGGGACCCGCACTTCACGTTCGAATCCGGGCCGGGTCATCCGAGCGAGCGTTTTAGGCTCCTCAGCTCCTGCGGCTTGAACACGGGGGACGTATTCGGCGGGAGCGTTGTCTGTGAGCGAAATGCGGGTAGCCTTGTCAGAGCTGGTCGTCAGCAGTTTTGCTGTTGTCATGGGCCTGCGTGCCCGAAAGGGTGATCGAGGAGCTGACGACGACGACGACGACGACGACGACGACGACGACGCGCCCGAGCATCGCCAGGTGGTGTCGTTGCTGGCGAAGTTCATGCAGGACATGGGCTGCGAGAGCGAGGAGGCCCCGAAGACGGGGCACGGCTTCCGCGTCGTGAGGACCACGAGCAGTCTGGACGAGTGGCTGCACCGCGGTGACGACCCGGCCCTCAAGCACATGCGTTTGCAGGTGTATGCAATGTGGGCCTACCGATGCGAGAAGCCCGGCGGCCTGCGGAGAGACAGGGCCCGCGCGCGGCACCTGGACTTCGACTTTGCGCCGCACTGCGCCCTGTACGCAACCCACAAACAGCGCCTGGCCCCCGAGCTCCGCGTGCCCCTCTTCGAGGGCTTTACCATGCCGACGATGAACAAAGACTTCGAGAGCGCCTATCTGTTCAAGCAGTGGCTCCTGACGCCGTTGGAGGTGGAGAATTCGGAGACGCCAGAGGACGAGCGCATGCTGCAGGCGTTCGCGCCCATGATGGAGGCCCCCGGCGCGCCCCCTGACATGAATGTGCGCGGGTCAAACTGTTTCGCGCGAGCCTGGACGCACTACGAGGCTCAGGCGGACGAGGGGGCCCGCGTCGCCGCGGCCCGTTTCATCGCGCGGCACGAGTGGCCCTCGATCTGGGAGACGCAGGAGGTGCAGGAGGAATTCTTTGCGCTGCACCAGGCGCGGGCGAAGGGCGAGGACGGGGAGTGCGACTCGCTGGATCCCGCCCACTGCCCCGACAGAGAGAAACCCAGGGCGACGGTGCACCAGTACGTCTCCATGATGGCCATGCAGGTGGCGCCAAACCTCGGGGGAATCGCCTTGGCTCGCGAGGAGACGAAACCCCTGCAGTACCAGAGCGACGCGGCCGCGCAGAGCGCGCACCTCAAGGCGACCACCGGTGGAGGCGCTGGTCATGACGAGCGCGCAGAGGCGGGCGAGGGCGTGGAACGCCCGGGCGCGCCCCCCTCGGCGGTCCGAGCGCATTTCCAGCCGGTTCCGACCAAGGGCATCGACGGGGGGCAGGACGTGGCGGATGTGCTGAACATCGCGCACCGCAAGCGCCTCACGAGGTTGGCCAAGGAGCTCCTCGCGCCCCCGTGCATGTCCGAGGCGGCCCGCGAGGGCGCGGGCGCGCCCGAGCCGACGGAGGCCGCGACCGCTCCTGCGTCCGCGGCCGGATACCGACCGCCGGTGACCGCAGCGCGTGAGGAGAGACACGCCTGGGCGAACCCTCATGAAGACCGCCTCCAGGGCAATCGCGACGAGGATGACGCGGGTGCTGACGACGGCGAGGAGGAGGCGCTGGCGGCCTGGGCGGCGACCCCGCTGCGGCCAGTTTTGCCCGCAGCGTGTGCTCAACTCCCAGCGCATGCATAGCCGCCTTGGTCGCTGGGTTGCTGGAGAACGAGAGACTCGCGCGGGGCCAGACGCTCTTCGTCACCAAGTTCGCGGATGCCTGCGACGACGCCGGGGAGGACGACGTGCAGAAGAAGCCCTGGAGCGAGAGAAAAGTGACGCACTTGCTCCGGCTGGGCCAGGGCGGCTCGGGGAAGACGCACTTGGCGCAGAAGGTCGTTTTCTCAGCGGCGGAGCATTTGCGGCCCTCGTCGGCGCAGGACAAGGGCGCCATGATTGTCGTGGCCTTCTCGAACGCGCAGGCGAAGAACATCTCCACGGAGGCTGTAAAGGCCAGAGCGCTGCGCAAAGCCTGCGCCCTGCAAGTCCAGAAGTACCTCAACGCGAAGATGAGGCCGGGGGGCATGCAGAAGAGGCTGAAGTGGTTGTGGGAGCACGTCCGCGTCCTGGTCATCGAGGAGGCGAGCATGGCGGCGGCTGCCCTGTACAACGCGCTGGATTTTCGCGCCTGCCACGGGCGCAGTGACACCCGACGTGCAGGAGTCCACTTACAAGAGGCCGCATCACCACTTCGGGCGCGCCCCCATCGCGTTGCACCTCGGCGATTTCCTACAGCTGAAGCCCACTGGCAGCATCGGGCCCCTGACGGACGTGATCGAGCGCCAGGGCGACGGGCCCCGCAAGTACGCGGAGCCGCCGACGGTGGAGATTCAGCACGCCATCAGCGTCTTCTCTCGCATCCCCTGCGCCTTCGAGCTCAAGGGCACGAAGCGCTGCGAGCCCGGGGGCCCTCTGATCGCATTCTTGGGCTGCGTGCGCGAGGGCAAGCGCTTCCCGCCAGAGGTCTGGCTTGCCTGGGAGAAGACGTTGGCCTCGGACAACCGCGGCGTCCTGGACCCTGGCACCAGCGCGAGAACTTTTGGCTCGGCTTCGGTATGGGCATCTACTGGGAGACGCTCGCGAGGTGGATCAACGCGCGTGCTCGTCGTGACGCGCGGCGTCTGGGCGTGCCCCTCGTTTTCCTGCAGGCCGTGGACGAGCGCGGCACGATTCAAGGCGGCCCAGACGCAGGCCGCCGCCTCCTGAACGTCCCGAAAATGCACGAGACGGGGAAGATCCACGGCGTCTTACCAGCGCACGTCGACATGGAGGTTGGGTTCACGGCCGCGCAGGAGGAGCTGAAGAAGAAGTTGGGGCTCGCGCAGGAGCAACGGGCCACCATCTTGTCCTTCGAGTTTCACGCAGACGACAAGCGAGACTACGAGGAGTGCGCGCCGGGCCAGCTCCTTCGCCCCCGCCACCTACCGCAGGGGATCTGGATGCAGGACCACGGCTTCAAGGAGTCCCCGATCTACAAGGAGGTCGCCGAGGTGCTGCTGCAGAGCGCCGAGGGCGCTGACGACGACGGCGCGGCCGAGGCGCGGGCGAGGAGCTTGCTCATGTTCAGGCCCAGCGAGCAGGATTTCACGTTGCAAAGCTCGGGGCCGCACGTCGCGCGCCGCTCGAGGTTCACCCTGGCGCGCGCGTCCTGCCTGACCTCCGCGCTGTCGCAGAGTCAGACGCTGCGCGAGGGCGTCGCCATCCACTGCGCCAGGGACGAGGACGCCGGTCGCACCGGCATGTCGGACGAGCAGTGGCGGCTGCGCCTCTACGTCATGTTCTCCCGCGCCACGCGCGTGCGGGATATGCTGATCCTGCGGCCGCCCGCGCGAGACTTCCTGGAGCGCGGGCCGCCGGCGCCCCTGCGGAAGGCGCTCGAGGAAGTCGACGAGAGAGCAGTGGGCTCCAGGGCAGAGGCGGAGCAGCTCGCGGCAGAGCGGGGCTTCGTGCGGCCCCCCGCCTGATTGCGGCCGCGATAAGCTCGGTGCCTGCGGGGTTGTCCCAACGGCCTGCTCTCGCGCCCCAGCGGCTCGCGGGGTTGTCCCCACGGCCTGGCCCGAAGGGTTGCCTCGACGGCTTCGCGATCTAGCCGTCGGCAAACGCGCGCGCGATTGCCCGGGCGGCGAGGGCGCCGAGGAACATCGATTGGCTTGCGCCGACCAGGGGCGCGGGGAGGCGCACATGGAGAAGATGCAGGCGGAGAATGAGGAGGAGGGAAGGAGTGCGGGGGGGGGCGATGACGACGAGATGAGGAGGTGGAGGAGGAGGAGGAGGAGGAGGAGGAGGAGGAGGAGGAGGAGGAGGAATAGGAGGAGGATAAATAGAGGGAGGAGGAGAGGGCAGAGCAGAGGGCGAGAGGAGAGTGTCCGCCAGGGAGAGGAGGAAAGGGCTAAGGGGAAGCTAAACAGATTCTCGTGCGGCGTCTTACCGTCGGAGTAATTTGTTTTTAGCCTGAGCTGCTCCCTACAACATCCGCCCGCTTGCCCTTGGCATCGCTCGGACGTGTGCATTTTGTCTCGGCGAGGACCATCGAAGAGCATTTGGGGCCATCTTGCGACGCAAATGCACGCACGAAGCCGAAACATGCACAAGGAATGGACGTCCGAGCGATGGCAAGTTACCAGGAAGCTGGATACCCAGATATGCGACGTCAATCTTTTTTGCAATGCGGGGTCCGGGGAAATCCCGACCATTTCCCCTATGTTGTTTTTGAAGGTCCCGAAGCCTGACGAGGGCCCCCCGAAACCGAAATTGGCCAAAAACTTCCCGTCTTGATTTTGCTTCACGACGCGATCATATCTGGATGCGCATGAACGTTGGTCGAAATTTCCTTCGGCTGGACTCACGTAGCATATTGTGCCGTGGCTGGCGGCTTGGGGAAAAACGCGCCGGTTGCTTCATGTGGCCCCGCAGTGGCCTCAGCTCTTCGCGTGCCTCGCCCTCGCTCTTGCGAACAGCCAGGAGGGGGGTGATGACTATGGGGGGTGGATGTCAGGGTGTTGGCCATGATATTTCCTAGGATTTCATTGCGCCTCCTCTTATTTCATTGCGTCGATGGCCCCCCCTTGGGCCGCGCACGTGCCGCCGGGCATGATTTGCGCCCCCTCTTTGACGCCCCCCTCTTGGCCGCCCCCGAAACAACGCCGACGTCGAGAATCTGCGATGCACGCGCGCACGCGATGCCCTGAGATCCTGGCGCTGCAATTTCTGCTAGCCGGGCGTTTCCGCCCGGCTTTGGGCCCCAGGACCCTCACATATCGATCCAGCTTGATAAATGACGCAGGAAGATGGCGTCCAGGGCTTCGTGCTTGATTGTTTCGTTCCGTCGGATCGCGTGGCCTCCGGATTACCGTAAGTCTGGCGCGAGAAATTTCCGAGGCGGGGGGAAATATCCATAAGCGCCGCCTGGGGAATCGATATTGTGGGGCCTTGGCAAGCGGCGGAAACGAATATATTTGGGCGTATCCGTCGCCCCCTTGGGTCCCGGGATTTCGGTTTCCCTGGCGGCGGATATGGATACACCCCCGCCTCGCAAGCAGTGTCAAAAGTCACGACCAGAGCCCTGGACCCCACCTGTCCGCGGCATCCCCCGAGCCCGATCGACCTGAGAGTGCCCCAGGGCCTGGCACCTGGCGATTATCAACGACTGGTGCGGGAAAACGCTGCAACGCCCAGATCGTCTCCCGCACGCGAGCCCGGCCACGCGTGTCCTCGACTGGTGCGGCCCGGTGCCTGCTGGCGCGGCCGGGTGCCACAGACTGAACCGGGCGGTTCGCCCTGGAACTGCTCCGGGCGCGGCGGCGTGGCCGCCGTGCTCTCTCCCGTCCCTTCCACCTCCCTCCCCTGGCCTCGTGTTGTTCATTCCCCTGGCCGGTGGGCTCCTGCGCGATGGTAGAAAAGTGTCCCCCGAGCGGCCCACCCATGCGCGCGCCCCGCGCCCGCCCGGCCCCGGTGCTGGGCGCGTGCGCCCTCCTGGCCTGGGCCTGCGAGCACCTGCTCCGCTCCTGGGCACGCGTGGAGCCTGGCCAGGCTCGCTGCAGCCGGCGCGCCGCCGCGGGGGGCGCGCCCGGCGGGGCGCGGCAGGCCGCGGGCCCGGCGGCCGGTCCGCGGCGGCTCCGCGGCGGCCGCGCGCGCGAGGCGCTCGTGCCGCCGCCGCCGCGGGCCGCGGCGGCGGCCGCGCCGGCGGCGCGGCCTCGTCGGGCGGGCTGCTCGCGGCGTGCGGCGCGCTGCCCGCCGCGGCCGCGGAGACGGCCGCGCCCGAGGCGGCCGGCGGACTCGGGCCGGCGGCGCTGTTGGGCGTCGCGGCGGCCGCCGTCGCTGCCTTCGGGCCCGAGGTGGCGTCGCTCTACGCGCGGGAGCCCAAAGCCTGAATAGAGGAACGCTCACGAAACGTAAGGGGGGGAGGGGTCTAGGCCGGGCGAGAGGGATTCGATTTGGGAGGTTTGGGGATGTTCTCGCGTCGATTCTCGGCTGTCTACTTGCCGCGGAACGCTTGTCAACAGCTGCGCCTCACCGAAGGCGTGCGGGGGTGCTCGGATCGTCCCAAATGGCCACCAGAGGCCCGAGGTATGGCCCGAATACCAACCCGCCGATGAGGTCTAGGGGGGTTGGATATCATTGCAGGGGCTTCGAAAGCTCCCAGATGTCATGCCCGCCCTTTTTCTTTACATCCCCTGGCCCCCTGTTCTGCCTCGCACACGCCTCGGGCCATGATGCGCGAACCCCCCTCTTCCTGCCCCCCCCTGGGCCCACCCGAGAAGAGGACAATTGATCCGCGGGCAACAAAGCTCGCTTTGAGCTCTTGCGAGCGTCATCCAGACGAGGCTGCACGCTGCACCAAGGTTTTGTTTTCATCGGTATCTGGGCCGTGGGCGTTCGAATCTTTTCAGAGAGCGACTCAGCGAGCGGGAGGCTTCCGCTACTACGTGAGCCGCAACAAGCCGAACTTCAACCGAGCGTTCGAGGGGCTGGCCGCCGAGTATCCTGAATTCCAGAGCGACGCGGTCTTCGTGTACTTCTGCGGCTACGGCGGCAAGCGGATGCCAGAGCTGGACCCCGCTCCGCGCCGCGTGGGCCTCATAGACGTGTCCGTGACTGAGGAGTTCGACGACAAGGGGGCTTTGGCGCGGAACTTGCAGGCCGCCGGCTGCGAGGAGGCCTTCCCGCCCACTTTTTTTGGGATCGACGAGGCGCTGCGGGCCACCTCGGAGGCAGCCTGCAGCACCGTCTTCTTCCTGAAACCGCCGTGCGAGACTGGGGGTGGAGGCATCGAGCTGGTGACGAGGGCCCAGCTGGCCGCAGGCCACACCGTTCCTGGCGGGCGCATAATTCAGCAGTGCGTCCAGGACCTGGAGACCATTGAGGGGCGCAAATTTGTCATGCGCTTCTTCTTGGTTGTGCACGACGGGGGGCTGTACCTGCACCGGCGGGGCATGACCATCGTGCACAGCAAGCCGTACGACAGGGAGAGCGTCGATTTCGACGTGCAGTGCCACCGGTCCTTCGCGGACGGCGGGGGACAGCTCCTGGTCAGCCACGAGTTGCCGGGCTTCGATGGACGGTATGCCGCTATACGGAGAAGAGTAGTTCAGATTTTGCCCGCGTTGCAGCCGCTGCTGGACGCGAGCTCTGCAGAGTGCTACACTATTATCGGAGGCGATGCAGTCATCGAGAGCACTGGCGAGGCGAGACTGATAGAGCTGAACATGTACCCCAACATGGGATTGCTAAGTGAGCTGGGCCGTGATTTCAATATGTGGGTAATAACGCCCATGCTGAAGGACGCACTCGCCACCATCCTCGTTGGCGACGAGCGACCGGAGCTTGAGCGCCTGGGGTGACGCGGACTGTACCGAACACGTCAAAAGCTGGCGCGCACAGACTTGAGGGTCCGGGCGCGAAGCTCCAGCGCAGGCCCAGCGGCCCACACGGGCACAGGCATCGAGACATCCCGTCGTGCACGCTGCTCCCCGATCGACGCGGTGCAGCACTCGCAGTGCGCGAGTCCGTGCGTGTGGCACGTGCGTCCAAGCAGCAGCCCAGGCGTCCTGGGCAGAGGTCCGCGGCGTGCCGAGGGGGGGAAGTGAGCGGGGGCTTTTCAAAAGTCCCGCGGCCTCCTGTGATTGGGCCTGTTTTCCACCGCCACCGTATTTTGGAGGGGGGAACGAGGTTGAGGAGGAGGAGGAGGAGGACGACGACGACGACGAAGAGGAGGAGTAGTAGTAGTACGCAGCATCTGGGCAAGAGGGACGTACCGTGCCAAGATCGATTAACGCGCCACACATGCTACTTCAGCCGCAGGGCGGGCCCGAGCGAACAAGGGGACCGACCGAGCGCGGGGGCCGAAAAGCCGAGGAACGAGCGAGGGCCCGAGGGACACGAAAGAGGGACCGAGGAGGAGGGGGGGGGGCAGCAGGAGCAGCGAGCAAAATCGGCGTGCAGGATCACGCCAGGCTGCGCGCAGGTGCGGCGCCACACAAACAACAGACAAGTGCGAAAAATGGCTGCGACGTGGCTGCAAGCAGCTCGGTGCCAGGGGGCCCTCCCGCACGTGCGCACGAGTGATCACACCTGAGAGTGACTGAAAAGGAAGCACACGCGCCCGAAGCACACAAAAAAGGCAAGACAAAATTCGATCGCGCTAACGGTCACAAAATCGCAAGAATGCTACTGCCCGCTGTCCGTGGCTCACCACTTCCTTACCGTATTGCCCTGTGCCGCGGCAGCACTGCCAAGCTCAAGAGGCTCAGCGCTGTGCACGGCCACACGTCAATCTCAGGAGGACCTCACGATGCCTCCGTCGCGAATGCGCCCCGCGAAGTGCGAGCCCGTCCACGTTGAAGCGAGAGGTGAGCATGGGAGTGCCGAACGCCCCCACAACGAAAGGCGCCGGACGTAGAGCTTGATGTTGTTGCGCTTCTTCTTGGGCTCGAAGAGGTCGAAGGGGGCCCAGCGCGGAACCTTGTCACCCAGGACCTCCTTCATGAGCATCGCGAGTGGCTCGAACTCCGCCGTCGGCTCTTCCAGCTTCTTCTTCTCGTCCTCGTCCTCGAGGTCGAGGCCCACCAAGGCCGTGGGCATCAGCTTCTTCCCGTCGAACTCCTTGAGCTGCTGCACAGAGTACTCCGTGAAGCGGGTCAGCTCGTCCCCCGAGTTCGACGCGTGGATGCTCATCAGCACCGCGGCTGGCCCCGGGCGTCGACGTGCCGCCTGCCCCCCACAGGCCGGGGGGCGGCATAAGGGCGCGTCAGCGCCTGCGGGCCACGGCTGCCCCCATTGCGGCGCGGCGGCCGTCGGGAGGCCGCCTCTGGCGGGGGGGGGCCTGGGCCGCTGCGGCGGCTGAAGAGGAGGAGGAGGAGGAGGAGGAGGTGGAGGAAGAGGACCCCCTCCAACTTATGGTGGTGGTGGTGGTGGAAACCAGGCCCCTCATCCTGAGCAGCCCGCTGCCGCTTCGGCGAAGGTTCAGAAAGCCTCCCCGAAGGCCCGAGGCCCTCCAAGCCTTCCAAGAAAGCCCGCCCCTCTGCCTCTCTCCCTGGGAGATCGAGGCCGAACAGAAGGCAGGCCTGCAGAGCGAGCGCGCACGTGCACGGGGCGCCGCCGGGGGAGGCATGGCCCGCGCTCGCACGGCGAGGCGACGAGACCCTTTTGCAGCCAAGATGAGAATACTGTGGCGGGGGCCACGGGCACAGATGCTGCGTCGCAGCGCCGGCCTGTCGCGCGGCGCGAAGGGCCGAGAGCGGGCCACAAGCGTTGAGTCGGGCATGCCAGCATGCCCCTCCACAGGAGGAATAATCAACAAAAGTCAAACATTCGTCTGGGAACGTTTGTTGGGGTAGTCTTGAATTTTGTTAAGGAGGTTGGGATAGTTTTGATGTTTGAGTATTGTTGGGACAATATCTGGATATGGTTAGGATAGTTTTGATTTTGGTATTCAAGCTCTGCCTGTAGGACGACATGCCCGACCTAGCACTGGGGGAGGGGGGGCGAGAGGAGGGGAGGGGGGGCGAGAGGAAGAGGGCGGCCTCGGCGAGGGGGCTGCAGGCGGGCAGCGCCTCGGAGAGTGCACCGTCGGACCGGGGTACAGGATCGAGGTCGGTCCGGGGAGGGTGCCCTCGTGTTCGCCGTGCTTGTGGAACACCCTCATGCATCCTGGGGAGGGTACCCCTAGATGTTCCGTTTATTGGTGCAGCATCGAGGTCGGTCCGGGGAGGGTGCCCTCGTGTTGGCCGTGTTTGCGGGATACCCTCATGCATCCTGGGGAGGTACCCTTAGAATTTATGTCTGGCCTGTCCCTCTACAGGAGTAATATTCAAACATAGCAAAAAATAGTCTGGGGACGAGTTTTTGACCATTTTCGAATATGTTCGGTGTACTTTTTTAGTCTTTTTATTCTTCCACCTAAAATCCGCCTGTAGGGGGGCCGGCCCGACCGAACCTTGGATGTTCCAGTTGTTTTGGCCGACGGAGGGTCCCATGTTCTTGCAGGATGCTCTTCTGGCCCAGGGCCGACTGCAATCCGTCGCGCAGGCGTGGCGGCTCCGGGGAGACAACTTCGGCGGGGGGGCTGGTCGTCCCGCGAGCGGTGGGCCATCGGCACGCGGACGCGCGCATTCGTTCCAAGCCTGGCGCGGCCACGGAGTGATCGGCCCGGCGACATGTTTTTCCCATCCCCCTTCTCTCTGCTGCGTGGCCCTGTTACCGGGCACGGGGGCCATCAACCAGCAATCTGGGACGGGGGACCCCACGGAGTGGGTCTGGACCTGGGGCGCCGCGGACGGAACAAACCATATCGGAGGATTTCTGGGAGCACGGGGTCATGCTCCGAATGATGATCAATTGCACGGCAGGTTCGCGTCTGCGCGGCGGCGACCCCGCCGCGGGCGTCCCAGGTTGACGACGCCGCCAGCGGCCTCGAACTGGGCAATATCCAACGACCTCCGCTATCGGAAAGCACTGGTCCACGCGGTTTCAGACACCAACTCGAAAGTCGTCAGGACACGAATTTTCCATGGGACGTGTCAGGCGGGGAAAAAACAACCCACACACAAGTAATTGTCGATTCGCCAAGAATGCGGTACAAATTGTAAAGCGGAGGGGAGGACGAAAGTCCAGAAAATCAGGACAATATTGGGAATCCTAGCATTTGTGGCTATCTCCTTGTGTGCCCCTGGACGCCTTCAGAGTGTCAGAGGGAGAGCGTCGAAGGTGGAAGGGCCAGCGACGAGGAAGGCGGCCCGGGAGCATCCGCTGTAGCAGTCCAGCGCTAGACCCACGGGCGGTGGAGCCCGTTGATCGGGGCCATCATGGTGCCTCGCAAAATCAGAGGGGGGGGGGCCAATCAGCTCAGAGTTCGCTCCGTTTTTTCGCGAGGTAAGTATGCGAGAGAGAGAGAGAGAGAGAGAGAGAGATGGAGAGCGACACCCTCCTGTCCGCGTTCGCCACCGCGCCTGGCTCATGGGCGAGAGGCCTCTGAGAGGTCTCTTGGGTATTCTTGGGAGCCTCGTGGGAGGACTTTCCTAAGGGCCTATTAGGAGTTTCATCCAAGCGTCTTGAAACCTTCTTGGGGGCGTCGTGGGACTTCTTGGTGGCGTCTGCATGGCATGCTGGCGACGTCTTGCGGGGGAGGGCCCAAGGGACTTGCGAGTTCCCTCATTTGGGTCTCTCTTGATGCACTTTGCATGCCTCTTCGGCCCTTGGGAACTTGAAGACTGGCTCTGGCGTTGTTGGGAGCCGCTTGGGCCGTCTTGTCTCAGGACGGACGAGGAGAAGGACGAGAAGGAGGAGCAAGGTGAGAAGGTCGAGCGAGCAGAAGGAGGAGGAGGAGGAGGAGGAGGAGGAGGAGGAGGAGGAGGAGGAGGAGGAGGAGGAGGAGGAGGAGGAGGAAGGGAGGAGGAGGAGGAGGAGGAGGAGGAGGAGGAGGAGGAGGGGGAGGAGGAGGAGGAGGAGGAGGGGGAGGGGGAGGATGAGGAGGGGGACGAGAAGAACAATGAGGAGGAGAAGGAGAAGGTGGAGGAGGTGGAGGAGGAGGTGAAGGGGAACGAGTAGAACAAGTAGCAGAAGGAGGATACGAGGAGGTGGAGGAGGAGGAGAAGGAGGCGAGGAGACAGAGGCGAATAGTATTCAAAGAGTTGGACAATGAGGAGGAGGATGAGGCCAGAAGAGAAGGAGGTGCCGGCAGAGGGGGAGGTGGAAGAGGAGTTGGATGAGGAGGAGGAGGAGGAGGAGGAGGAGGAGGAGGAGGAGGAGGAGGAGGAGGAGGAGGAAGGCGATGATGAGCAGGAAGAGATAGAGGAGGAGGAGAGGGGCACGAGGAGAGTGGGGGGAGGAGGAGAGGGAGAGGAGGAGGAGGAGGAGGAGGAGGAGGAGGAGGAGGTTGATAAGGAGGAGGGGCAGGAGGAGGATGATGTTGTCCCGGGATGTTGCCTGCCTGATCTGCTCCGGCATATGCACGAGTGCGGAGCCGACGAAAATCGAGACCCCCCTCGCCTGAGGTCTTGGGGAGCCTCCTGCAAAACGGCGCGCAGCTGAAACATCAACCACTGCGCTCCGCGCTCCCCCCGCGGCGGCGGCGTTGGCGCTCCGTTCTCTCCGGAGCACTGGCCGCCGCCGCGGGAGCCTCCGGTCCCAGCCGGGGGGGACGCACACCAAGCCCACGGCCTCCAACCAGTGGCCGCAACTACCGAGGAGGAGGAAGAAGAGAATGAGGAGGCGGCGGAGGAGGAGGAGGAGGTGGAGGCGGGAAGGAGGATGAGGATGAGGACGAGGAGGAGGAGAAGGAGGAGGTGGAGGAGGAGGAGGGAGGAGACGGAGGTGGAGGAGGAGGAGGAGGAGACGGAGGAGGATGATGATGAGGAGGAACATATAGAGGAGGAGGAGAGGAGATGGAGGAGGAGGATGACGAGGTTGGCAAGAGGACGGAGGAGGAGGAGGAGGAGGAGGAGGAGGAGGAGGAGGAGGTGATTAGAGGAGGAGGAGGAGGCGGAGGAGGAGGAGGAGGAGGAGAAGATGCAGGAGGAGGAGGAGGAGGTGGAGGAGCAGGAGAGGGAGGAGAAGTGGGAGGAGGAGGAGGAGGAGGAGGAGGAGGAGGAGGAGCAGGAGGAGGAGGAGGAGGAGGAGGAGGAGGAGGATAGTGGAGGACGGGACAGGGGGAGGGAACAAGCAGGAGGAGATACTGGAGGAGGAGGAGGAGGAAGAGGAGGAGAATGTTTCTGTCCCGCTGGTGGACAGTGTCCTCGGACAGTGCTGTGGCCTGCAATGCCCCCCCCTCCTTCGTGTGCCCGCTCGACGCCGCCAGAGGCTGGTTATGAGGATGATGCAACTGCATATGGTGATGATGCTGCTGCTGCTGCTGCTGCTGCTGATGATGATGATGATGATGATGATGATGATGATGATGATGATGATGACGATGACGATGACGATGATGATGCTGATGATGATGCTGATGGTGATGGCGATGATGCTGATGATGGCGTTGGTAATGGTAATGGTGATAACTATGTTGATGATGGTGATGGCGAGGGTTATTGCGATGGTGACGGTGATGGTGATGCTGATGATGATGATGCTGATGCTGATGCTGATGATGATACTGGTGGTGATGCTGAGGAGAATGATGGTAGTGATGCTGCTGATGGTGATGCTGATGCTGATGATAATGCTGCTGATGAATGTGATGATGGTGCTGATGATGATGATGATGATGATGATGGCGATGATGATGCTGACGATGAGGATGATGATGCTGCTGCTGATGATGGTAGTGATAATGGTGCTGATGTTTCTGAGGATTATGATTATGATGACGTCGCTGATGATGCTGTTGATGATGATGTTGATGAAGCTACTGATGATGATGCTGATGATGTTGCTGATGATGCTGCTGATGATGATGACGACGATGATAATGATGACGACGATGACGATGACGATGATGATGATGATGATGATGATGATGATGATGATGATGATGATGATGATGGTGATCGTGGTGGTGGTGATGATGATGATGATGATGATGATGATGATGATGCTGATGATGCTGCTGATGATGATGGTGATTATGATGATTATGATGGGGAGGAGGAGGGGGAGGAGGAGAAGAAGGAGGAGCAGGAGGAGCAGGATGAGGATCAGTTGAATGGAGGATCGGGTGTTGCCGGATGTGTCCCTGACTCAAGGTGTCCCGGGGGATTCCAGGGAGGTCCCTGTGGCCCTGAGCACCTCTCACGAGGCCCCTTACTTTGGGCCCCTGTCGCTGAAGACCGTGGGACCATCCCTGGAAATCCTGGCGGACCCTTGGGACGTGGACACATTTAGCCACGACTGAGAGGAGAAGGAGCGGGCAGGAGGATGAGGAGGAGGAAAGAGGACGAGGAGGATGTGGTGGAGAAAGAGCAGGAGGAGCAGTACGAGCAGGAGGAGGCGGAGGAGAACCAGTAGAAGGAGAAGGAGCTCGAGAAGAAGGGAGGAGCAGGAGGAGGAGGAGGAGGAGGAGGAGGAGGAGGAGGAGGAGGAGGAGGAGATGGAGGAGGGAGAGGAGGAGGAGGTGGTGGAGAAGGAGCAGGAGGAGCAGTACGAGCAGGAGGAGGAGGCGGAGGAGAACCAGTAGAAGGAGAAGGAGCTTGAGAAGAAGGGAGGAGGAGGAGGAGGAGGAGGAGGAGGAGGAGGGAAATGGAAGAGATGGAGGGTGAGGAGGAGGAGGAGGAGGAGAAGGAGGGGGAGGAGGGGAGGAGGAGGAGGAGGAGGAGGAGGAGGAGGAGGAGGAGGAGGAGGAGGAGGAGGAGGAGGAGGAGGAGGAGGAGGAGTGGAGGAGAGAGCAGAGCATGAGGGGGATGAGCCCGAAGAGGCGTGCTGGATGATAGTAAAGACGAATGGGGAGAAGGGAGGAGGAAGAGGAGCAGGAGCGAGCAGGAGGACGGGAAGGATCACAGGGTGGAGGAGGGCGGCGGCTGGTAGGCCTCGGTGGCCAGCCGTTTCGGCCTGGCGGAGCCCTGTGACTTCGAGCTCTTGGACGCGACCGGCGCGCCGCTGCGAAGGCGTCCCCCGGGACCCCCCGAGGAGTCCGCGGACTAGAGCTTCTGTTCGACTTCCATCTCCTCCATCTTCATCTCTTCGTCCCCCTCCTGCTTCTCCCGCTTCTGTGCCATGCTGCGCTTGAGTAGCGTCGCAAGCACTATTCTTCAAATTGGACCTGGTGTCAGCGGGCCAATCTGAAACTTCCTTTCCACTGTCATGTCTCGCCATGGCGGCGGCGGCAAGAGTGGCGGCGGCAAACGCTACGGATCCCCGTGGCAAAGCCATCCTCCGCCGTGGCGCCAGGCACAGTCGCACTGCTACGGCGGCCATTTCGGGTTCAGCAGCAAGCGTGGGCTGCACTCAGCCTCCCCCGACCGTGAGCAGTCCGTGCTGTGCGGATGTGGCAAAACCTCGATCATGTTTACCTACTGCAAGCACTGCGGCGCGGAGCGTCAAGCAACTGCGCCAGCTCAGCCACATGGTCTTTGCGTGGTGTGGTCTGATCTTCGTGGGCAGCGTATGTCGCCTGGGTGCATCGCCCCTGATGTGTGGCAAGCCCTCCCTCCTGAGCCTCCTGGTCCTCAGCCACTCGCGCTTCGGGGAGCAGATTCGTGAGGGCCTATCTGTGCGTCAGGCCCGCCAGGGTCCACCGAGTTCCAGATGCTCGTCGCTTCTGCCAAGCGCGACGGCGATGAAGCAACGGCTCAGAAGTACTTGGCCAAGATCGACGCTCTCACAGCCAAGGTAAAGATGTATCCCAAGTTGCTTCAACATCGAGCGTAGGATCTGCATCGCGAGACTATTGAGCTGGACATCGCGATGGAAGGACAGCTTTCCAAGTACAGCCGATATTTCTTATAGATGGGCGGAATGGGGACGCAAGCAGGATACCTACCTCAATAATGATCTTTCGTTCGGGTCCAAGTCTGGCATTGAACGGCATTGTGTTCTGGTGGCCAAGCTCTACACCTCGGTCGCGCTCGTCGAGTCCGCTGCTCCAGCTCATGCCGCTGCTGGGCCAGTCCTCTCACTACGCGACCTGGTGGCGGGCATAGTTGCCAACGCCACCATCGACGACGGCGCCTCTTCAGCGATTTGCGTGGTGAGGAGGAACTCGATCAGGCCGACGTTGGCGAAGACACTAGTCGCCACGCCCAGATCAAGGAGCACACCGCCAACGCTGCCAAGCAATTCTTCGAGAGCGCCCTTCAGAGAGCTGGTGCAGTCAGGAAGGAACACGGGATCCAGCTCAAGCGCATCGCGGGCAGGCGACGGCGGGGAATAGACGCAACATTTCGCGTTGGCGGCGCAGGCTCGGCTGGCAGGGGCGACGCTGGTGGAGCTGAGGCTGCTGCGCCTGTTGCGCCTGGATGTGTCGCTGAGGCGGGTGTCGGGAACGGCGAAGCAGCAGCACCTCAAGCTTTTCGGCGCTTGTGCGCGGCAGCGATGAAGCCTGCCGTCGGCGGCAGTAGCTTGACGGCCCCCCGAGGATCGAAGGGGGCCCCGCTCGGATCGGCGCCGCGCACCCCACCATTTGGTGAACCAAACAAAGTGTGGGCCAGGCACGCCAAAGTAACCGATTTTTTCGTGGACCGAGCTCAAGGGTCTTTACCATGTTAGTTCCCCTTTTGCCCTGGACCAGAGGGGCCGTCTCGGGCCCATGCGGGAACTTCGAAGCATTCATTGGAGCACATTGGCTGGAAGACTCTGGCGCCCTTCCTCCTCATCAGTGACCCCAGACCCCAGGGCGCGCCGCTCATTCGCCCTCCCCCCACCCCCTCCTAGCGACTCATCTTAGGGAGGGGGCGTGGGGGAGTGGAGCGAGATGCCGCAAGAAAGTGTGGTAGTGAGGGTTCTGATCGGTTATGTTGTGACGTCGTCACGGCTGCCATTCGGTCTAAGCGGTTCACCGTTCGGAGAGAAAAAAGGCTTCAATCGTTGTCTTGCCCGCCGCGATTTCTGACCCCTGTCTAGGTCTCGCGAGGCGGGGTGCGTCGTCGAAGACGTCTGACCGCCCTGCAAGGCCCCAGGGGACCCGCTGTCACATAGGATCTGGGCTTGCCCGCGTGCTGTTGCGCAGCGCGCTGCCATCGTCCCCCCCGAAGGCATGGCTGCCACCCCTGCCGACTCCCTCAGCAAGTTGGAGCACGTATTCAACGGTCGAGTCGTGGACACGGAGAGATGTGCGCGCGCCAAACAGGACAGGCTGGGGATTAGCCATGTTCGGACCATCTGGCCACTTGCTGTTGATGGCCTGGGCCCCACGAGCCGTTGCTTCAGACTCCTAAGGATGGCGAATGTGTGGTTGATCCGATGGCGGACGCCGTCGCGTCAGGCCCTCTCGCAGTCCGATTCCGATTGTGTCAGCATGCGCAGTTTGCCTTTTCCTTTGCAGCTCTCACCCAAGCGTTCGTACGCGGGTCTGATCATGCAGGGCTCTTCTCGTGGAGACAGTGAGACTACTGGGCGTGAAAAGGTTCGCCCGCATCTGGCACTCGGTGACCATGACACCGACGAGGCCGAGCGTTTCAGGGTGCTCGGGGACGGCGCGGCCGACCGAGCACCGAAGCTTTCGGCACAGAACATGCATGGGACCACACCTCACAGACAATGGAGTCACAATGCTTTCTGACACTGTCAGTGTGCTCTCAGCATGCTGCGCTTTAGTCGTGCTCAACAGCAAAAATGATCATTCTGCTTGCCCCCTTCCGCTTCTTCCTACACCTTTTCCTCCTCGTCCACGCATTCCTCCTGCTCGTCCTCCTTCTTCTCCTCGTTCTCCTCCTCTTCCTCCTCCTCGTCCTCCCCGCCCCTTCCCTTCTTATCCGTCTCATCGTTCCTACCCCTCCTCATGCATCCTTCCGCGCTCGCACACCCCTTGTAGCACCACCAGACATGTCCGACGGCCTCTCTGGCGGTTCTCTTGGGACGACTTGTTTGTACAGTCGCGAAGATCACAACAACACATGCAGACACAAGGACGGAGGACCCGTGGTTGTCAACATACGCTTCTTGCATGAGCGCCGCGCACATCTGTCTTACAAGCTTTCAGCAGCTATCAGTCAGGAGGGCCGGTCCTTTGGAGGAGAATTCGGCTTTCGCTTGAGCCTCGCGCGCATACGTTTTGAATGTCGCCATCAGCAGCAATGATAGAGGCAAGTTTGCTTCAATATTTGGCGACCCTTCCGTGTCACGCGAGTGGCTGCGACGGGCCTCGCGAGCACGTGGGTCCGTGGTGCCCAGGAGCGATTTCCAGGTGGCGGTCAGGCTCCGGGTCCCACGCCCCTTGCTGCGCGCTGCCAGAAACAACCCGGGGGCACCACGACGTCCGCGACGTGGTGCTCTGGTTGGGGCATTTGGCAAAACCCAGCGCCGCGACAGAAATCCAGGGGCACCACGACGTCCGCGACGAGGTGCTCCGGCTGGGGCATTTGGCAGAACCCACGGCCGCGACAGAAACCGTCGGGCTCGCTCTTTTGCTCCAACGCGCCGCCCCGCAGACATCCTGACCTCAGCGGCCCTCCTGGGCCGTTTAGCGGCGTTGGACATTGGGAGCACGAGCCCCGACGCAACTGGCGCGGGAACGGTTTCCTGCGACGCGATGTGCCGCCAGAGCCAGGGCGACTACCGCGAATACGAAACCGAACTACGGGCATAGGACATCACCTACCGGCGGAGGAGGAAAAGGAGGAGGAGGAGGAGGAGGAGGAGGAGGAGGACGAAGAGAAAGAAACCAACAAGAAAAGTCGGACGAATTATTCGGGCGTGGGGGGGGGGGGAGAAGGCGGAGGAGGAGGAGGAGGAGGAGGACGCTTCCTCCCCGGCAAGTGAATGGTTTCCTCGTCCCCGTTGGCTTGCAGGAGGGTGTTGCCCGGGGAGGACGAGGGCCCTTTTTCTTCCTCCAGATGGAGGCCCGCCTCCCACAGGAGGGGTCCCCAGCCAACGCAACCCTCTGGGGACGATTGGCGCTAGGTTTCAGAGCACTGGGCAACCGCCGCTCCTGGGGGTCGCTGCTACACTCAGCGGTTCGCCAGGACGGGAAGGCAGAGGGGGCAACCCTTCTCAGGAGACAGGAGACCTAGAAAGCCTCAGGCCTTTTGAGAAGCTTCCTGAGTTATCAGGCGAAGCCAGAGAAAACCTCTCAGAAAACCGGGGGTGTCGAGCAACCCCGTCGGTTTCGTTTCTTCCCTGCGGTGGTGGCGGGGGGGCGTGGGTCATGCTCGAGTTTTGTTCCTGGATGGCACGACCTCTAACTTAGCCTACCGGGCACTCTGCTCTTGCGGTGCCACCGACGTCTTGAAGCAGGACCCTCTAGCCGATGAAGATGTTCGAGTGTATCGCCCACGAGGCTTTGTTTCTGAATACGTAGCACCCCGCAGATGCGGATAAGAGTGAGGGGGCGGCGGGGACGTCGGCAGTTTGCAAGACTCTGGAAAAGCCTGCCCGCCGCAGGCGCCAAAGCTTTACAAATTATGCAACGAGCTCGCCGCAGGCGCCGATTTTTTGGAAACAATTTGGGTAGGTCGCGGGTGGGTCGCTGTTGGATCGCGGGTGTGTCGCGGGTGGGTCGCTGTTGGGTTGCGGGTAGGTCGCGGGTGTAGAGGGCAGAGAATTCTCATCCATAAGAATCACCCCGACAGGCGAAGCCGTTTAGTAAACGCACACAAAGAAAGGATCGAACTGGGCAAGGCTTTTTGGTAAACGCCCAGGGCAGTTTAGTCAACTTCAATTGTCGGGTTCGGGTGTTTTTTTCCTCCCTTGCGGGTGGGTCGCGGGGTGGGTCGCGGGTGGGTCGCGGGTGGGGTCGCGGGTGGGTCGCGGGTGGGTCGCGGGGTGGGTCGTGGGTGGGTCGCGGGGTGGGTCGCGGGTGGGTCGCGGGGTGCGTCGCGGCCGGGTCGCGGGGTGGGTCGCGGGTGGGTCACGGGGTGGGTCGCGGGGTGTGTCGCGGGGTGGGTTGCGGGGTGGGTCGCAGGGTGGGTCGCGGCTGGGACGGCGACGGCAAACAACAACAACAACAACAACAACAACAACAACAACAACAATAACAATAACAATAACAACAACAACAATAACAACAACAACAACATTAACAACAACAACAACAACAGCAACACCACAAACAACAACAACAACAACAACAAGCAACCAACAGCAACCAGCAACAACCAACAACAACCAACAACAACAGCATCATCATCAACAGCAGCAACAGCAACAACAACGCAGCAAACAAAATGTTCACGACGATTCCCCACTTCAGCCACGCACCCTGGGACAATGAATGACCGTTCGGCCCCCTCACTCTGATATGACTGCCGCTCTCTCTGTCAGCGGACCCCCCATCGTGGCGTCCCCTCGCTTGGCAAAGTAATCACGGAGAAACAACAAGAAAACCAGTATGAACATGAACTCTCGGTGCTCCGCGCAGATTCCTTAGATCGTTGCTGGACCTCCCTCCCCAGCACCGCCCCTTGCGCGCGAAGTTCCCGTCGCCGAACCCAAGGATCAGCAAACCAGGTTCCATCGAATAGGCGATGCCCCGTGGCCCGCCGATCAGCCGCGGTGGCGTAAGCTTTGGTCGTGGGCAGGCGCCTTCGTCGCACAGGCCACCCAGTTTTTCAACCAGGCGCCAGGAGCGCTATCGCTCATCAGCCAACTTGCCCTGACCGCGCAGCGCACACCGTACATGCCAACGGCGACGGAAAGGAGGAGTACGTGGCAAAGGCGCGTGAAGAGGAAGAAGACGAGGTGGAGGAGGAGGAGGAGGAGGACGGAGAGGAGAAGGATGACGAGAAGGAGGAGGATTAGGTTAGTCGCAGGGTCGTCTTCGCCGTTTCTTTGTTTCCCCCTCCTCTCCTCCAAGGGGTGCTTGGGAGTTTCCAACTGCGCCCGCTCACAGTACAGCAGTTGTTTGATCAACCTCCTCCAGCGGCAGGGCGGGGCACGGCTTCGTTCGATCCATTAGAACACTGAAGCCGGCAAAGGCATGAAGAGGAGAAGGAGGAGGCGGAGACGGATCATAACAAGGAGGACGCATGGAGGAGGCGGAAGGGGAGGCAGAGTTGCAGGACGGGCGGGACGGTAAGGAGTGATGTTGATGATGAGTGTAATGGTGACGGTGGTGTTGTTTATGATGATTTTGATGATGATGATGATGATGATGATGATGATGATGATGATGATGATGAAGTTGATGATGCTGGTGATGATGATGATGATGATGGTGGTGATGATACAGATCATGAGCATAATCATGATGCTGCTTCTGCTGCTGATGCTGATAATGATGATGAATGTGGTGGTGGGGGGCATGATGGTGGTGATGATGATGACGAGGACGACGATGATGATGATGATGATGATGATGATGATGATGACGATGATGCAGATGATGAAGATGATGATCAGAGTGAGGGGGTCGAACGGTCATTCATTGTCCTTGTGTGCGTG